GATGTTATTTGCCATAAATGCAATACATTGATTGCTGTAATATTGTGAGATAGTAGCGGCTGTTTGTAGTTGTGGTGGGCCTATTTGGGAGAAAATCCAGGGCCGTTTTTTACTCCGTCCCTGGTCACAAATGTGATTTATTTGCAACCTGCACCCAAATATGTGCAGAGTGTGTGTGCATGTGTCCTCACACCTTCATATTAGCACACTGTGTTTCACTTATCTTGAATGGAGAGCCAATACTTCTAAATGATGTATTAAACCACAGAGCTGCTATACAGTAGTCTCATGCATCTCTATTAAATATCAAAGGGCTCACGCCACCTGTCATACCACCAACAGCGCTGCAAATGATGTAAATGATGCCTATGAGACTTAGATTGGAGAACATTCATGGCAGCCACAAGCCTTCGAAAATAACTACTTCAGAAGGGCCTTGGATAATGAACTTTTCAAAGGTTCATCTGATGGACACCTCAGTTCGGACTAATCACTATAAATCTGCTCAAGGTTTGCCAGATTTCAAATCACATACTTCCAGGGGGCCCAGAAACAGCTGAGCGACTGCCATTGAGATGAATGGGAATGCTAACAGATTGCTTTCTCCAGGTATTAAAGACCTTCACTAGCGACTGTCGTGAGCTGTGATTCAAAAGGCAGCAGATGGGAAAATGGAAGTCCATTTCAAGCTTTTAAGAGCCCTAAAAACATCTACTGTATCTAATGAATATAATAAGTGATGGACTAATATTAAAATTAAGGCCGACTTTATAATTCTTAATCTATTCTAAATCCAAAAGCAGTCAATTTTCAAGGGAATTTTGGCATTACAACAATGTAATGTACAGTAGGAAAAATGGAAAAGATTTAATGAATATATTATTAATGATGTACTAATATTACACTTGTAGCCAATACCAATAAGGTCACCGTGATTTTGCCAAGTAAGACATGTTCCTCTATCAACATCTTTTGTTGGTCCTGGATCAACATTACTGTCCAAAAATATAGACTAAACCCAATCCCTACCCCTAAACCTAACCTTACCTATAATTTATTCCTAAAATCAGTGTGAAATGATATCTGATTAACAAGGGTGTAGAAGCACCTAACCCTGATTGAAAGCCTAAAACAGATATTTCCTGAAAAGTTATCCCTCAATTCTGATTGGTTAATTGGAATGCTGTTCCAGGATCAACAAGGATGTTGATCCTAGAACATGTTGTACTTGGTGAAATCATGCTCACCATACCAATAAACCTATCAATATTTTTAGATCTACATTTTCAACAGATGACCAATTTCATCATTGTGTATTACACACACACAAAATCAAATCAATCATTTTAAATGCTATAAGTGAATTTCAGCATCATAGCTCCATAATGTAGGGTATTAATTTTGAGATTTTATTCAAGATTTAATACATATATAATTAGGAATGTACTAATATTAAAATTGTTGCTGATATATCACTGATACCAACAAACCAGTCAATATTTTCATGTTATCTACATTTTCAATAGATGGACATTTTATAATTCTATATTATTTCGTCTAAATAATTAAAAAATTAAATCAATACTTTTAATATGTTCATGTTTCATGTCATCAAAATGTTCAACAAATGGCCGATTTTAATCCTATAATGTAAATAGATAAATAAATGCATAGCACAATTTTTATCTTTTTAAATACTAAAAGTGAATTTGGCCATAAAAAAATGTAATGTACAGTATGAAAATGGATTGTCATTTGAAGAGTTTGTGTCATTTTGTGTGATTTTCATTTGTCATTACATTACATTTGTCAGTGTTATAAAAATAGTGTTTTAAAAAAATTAACTAATTTAAATAATCTAAATGTTAAAAAGGGGGGAATGAGCATGCACAATTAAATATCAAATATCAACTGATACTGAAAAAATATATATAAAATATACAAAAAAGATATATAAAAAATATATATCTTTAATATCCACCAATAACTGATAGGGTATCAAGATATTGTACATTCCTAAATATAATGAAATATTTGTAATTTATTCAGTATCAGTTTAGGGTCTCTTTATGTCTTCAAAGTGCATAATGTACTGTTTGCATTTAAACATTTACACATAATTTTCCCGTGGCTCCAAACTAATTAGTCACACTGCATTTGCCGCTCAGAAAAATCCTGCATCCAGAACTGAGTGGAATATCTATATAAATGTTGCTTTATCACAATGAATTGGCCAAATTTTTGTTGGACTAGAGTTTCACTTGCCCTCAACTTCTTTGTGTCTCAGCAGATCCAGATCAATTAATAATCCTGAACTAAAATATCAAAAAGGTGTGACATAAAAATCACCTTGGTATTGATGTAGGTCAACAAAGCTCAGGAAATCATGCCAGACCATGTTCTCTGAGTCATGTATCATATAAACAGCTTCAGATCCGGAAAGTTCATTCTTATTCCATGAATCCATATTGCTTTGCGGCCTTGAGAAGTGTCTGAAGCTAATACAGGAGTGTTTATTATTGAGAGCTGCTGCTTAAGCTTTCATATATCAAGGTCAGTGCAATGTCATCTTTGATATGCTTTATGTAAAAGAGGCAGAAACTACAGAGCGGCAGTTAACATGACATGTAATTTTAAAGAGCAATCTCTTGAGGATCCTTGAAAATATCTCCTCAACATTGGCTTTTTAGGCATTTTAGTTAAAGCAGCACTATGTAACTTTTTCTGTGTTCAAAATCTGTCACATTTCTATAATCAGATTTTCGATCATCTTAAAAACGTTAATGTCCATTTTTTTTCCAGTATGTTTTTCTGAAGCCTACTAATTGGCTAATGGCATCTTGTACCATGAGGCCTGTGGAGGAATTCAATATTTGAGCTTGACAGCGGGGTCTAGTGCTGCCATAAACCTGAAGAAAATTGCTGCATTCGCCGGAAATCGGAAAGATTAATTTCTTATCTTTGACATCGACTCCATTGCACTCGTATCGTCAAAGCAGAACAATTTTTTTTTGCTTCTTTTGTGAGACCTTCTTAAGATAATATCACCTGATTTATCAAGGAATTGAGTTATTACTTTAAGCAGCTGCACTTTTTGTACAATTTTTGCCTGGAGGGAGGGACTCAAGCCATATCTAGACCATAATAAAACAGAGACTTGAGGGTGAACTCTTTTGACTTGGACCATTTAACAAGCACCTACCAACCAGAACACCTTATTTGAGATATAACGTCTCAGTTGTGTGAAACAAAGTTACAATTACAGAAAATAAAGGGACAATTGTGAGATACAGTCACATTCTGAAACTATTTCCTATCATTTTGACTATATCTTAAGTGAGACTCTCAAAATGTGATGTGATATTAAGTCACAACTGTGAGAAATAAAAGCGGATTTATAACATCGCAATCACAAGAAGAAAATCAAAATGATCTTTTTTTTTCTTTGAGAACACGCATACATAAGCAGTCTACAGTACTATTTGGATATTGTAGAAATCCCTTTGATAACTTTGCTTAATCGTGGGTTGCAGCAACAAAGAAATGAGATTTAGAGATTTTCAGCGCAAGTTCAAACAACTTGTGCTAATTAACATTCAACAAATTCCAATTAAGCAGTTTCTTTTAATGTGGAATTAATTCCAAACAGCACACATGGATCTCTACACAGTACCGTTGAGTCATCTGAAGTGCATCAGGCCTTTTGTTTGATTCATGGCATTGGTGTTAACTGAGTAAAATAACAAGAAAGGACAAGACTCACCTGATTTGAAGAACAGTTCCTTTTTCTTCTTTGCAACATTAAATCCTCAATTCAAAAATAGCATTATTGCATCATCAGACAAGTGTTGTTTTGTTGCTTGACATAACAGGTCACGTGGGTTCATTTTCCCAGGTCGCATTGTATTTTCATGGTATTCCTGAATGTTTACATGAGACGACATTCTTGTGAGAAACGCTCTGCTGAGGGCGATGTCTGATGTCTGTCCAGCAGCGGGGCGAGATGACAGCAAAACACGCATGAGCTCGGGGAATCTTTCAGACTTCCTTGGCTTGTTTGGAGCAAAACCACTCAATTGACATCAGAGTTCAGTGATAAATCCATGTTCCCATGGAAACTTCATGCTATTTTTGGGCCTGCGAGTCGAGCTCTATAATAGACATTTGCATATTCATGTCTGGACAAAGAGAGACAAGATGCTCGAAGCGTTTATCATCAGCCGTGAGCGCTGATTGAATAGCTGCTTGTATCATAATTAGGTGCCATTAGTACTGGGAATAATCAGGCATCTTAAAGGACCCTTTAGCTCAAAGAGAGTGTTACAGTTTTCACAAAGACTTAAAAGCAGCTGGTGCAATTACTATGAGAGACTTATCTCAAAGTAATTGGTATCAAATCTTCATATCAAAGTGTAACACTGAAATCAGTGTATTATTTTATGACTTAAGAATTAAAATTACATTTTTAAGCATAATATTTTATAATTTCTAATGTTACATAATTTATTAATTTATAACAATTTATTATTAAGCTGCTAAAATTAACCATAAACCACACAATGAAAATAAAACAACATTCTAATTTATTTCATATTATATTTACATATGCATCAATGGACAAGTACATCAGACATCAGCATGGCGGCAGATGTGCCATTGTTTCATCGTATGCAACCCGAATAAAGACATCAAACGTATGACCACAGTGCAATCTATCTCATATTTTAACATCTGCATTGACAGCGTGTCAAGTTAATGTTGCGATATATGGGCTATTACATTAAGATATTATATTACAGAGTTAATGACAGCTTTAACTGACGGGCGGGCTGATGCTAAATTGGGCTGGTATTTTTAAATCATCTGAGGGTGGCAGTAAAGCTCTGAGGAATATGATCAGATGTGATGCCGTTATTCACAGATAATACTTGAATACAGGCTCTGGACGGGGGCTTTTAGAGCAAAAACTTCTCCATCTGTCTGTTATAATCCCCTTCTTTTCCTGCATCTAGCCAGAAGCCCCTAGTTCAACGAGGGCCAGGCGAGCAGATAAACACAGCCTCCCAAAACAATCTGTGTCCATTTGTCTTATTCAACTGGTTTAAGAGCCATTAAATGTGATCTCATTAATCTGGTTTTAATCTAACCAGGTACAGGTTTACAGGGATTATGAGAGTTCTGCTGTTCTGAGTGCATTTTAAGCTTATAATTGCATACAGGTTTGATGTAGACAAATAAATCATCTCTACAGTGCATCCGAGGTCAGCTTGTGCTGCTTGACTGATTCAGCTTGGCTGAATTTGTAGGTCTGCATGCAAAAAGAAGCATAAACCATTACAATATTGTAATCCAGAAGGTCTTTTTGAGCACTAGCTACAGTTTTAAGGTTTTACCAAAAAGATCATGAGAGTCACAAGAGAACTGGTGTGGAAAGGATCTATAACAGTGTCTGCTCTTCACATCGGTCTCATCATGAACGGATGAGATGTGACAGGTCTATATTTAATTTGAAGATGACGGACAACTCTTTGGAGAGCAGATTATGCAATGCCACGCCGTCATGAGCGTACACCCATCGCTCCCCCGTCCAATCGTAGCGTTTCGGCCCGCTGAGAAAGGAAACATTCAGTAATGTTTGATCAAGCTGAAAACTGAACATATTGCTCTCATTATATCACAGTTAATATTTAATGCAAGAACCAGCATTTCTAAAGGCAAAAAATAATACTGGCACTTTAAGGATTTACACGTTAGCAAGAAATTGAGACTTCTAATGTTTTATTAAAAATTGATTAAACAGTTAAGCAGTTATGAACATTAAGAACTGAGTGTTTAACCTTGTCGGTGAGGAGAGCCAAATCTGTCGGTTGGGTGTCTGTTTGTTGATAACGTATGTACCATGGTCAGAGCCCACTTTCACTGTCAGCACCCCATTCTGGTAAGAAATTTAACACACATGTAATCATACGAGGACTTCAGTCTGAGGCTGTAACATTAAAATGGCACCACTTAAAGGAATAACTCGAATGGATAAAAGAGATTCTTAAAAAATTATACTTATATATTTATAACAATATATTTATAATATAATTTTATATAATAAATAAAATAAATTATATAAAATAATATTTTTTTTTTTTAATAAATGAACAGGTCCACTTATTTTTTCCCAACTTCTGAAAATATTTTTAAATAAAACAATATATATATATAAAACATATACATACATACATATATATAGTCTAACATTCAAAATAAATGAATTAACTTTTTCACAGCACTGAATGATAATGATCCTAAGTCACAACATCCCATTTAAACCACAAACTCTTACAATTAAATTGATGCCAAAATGCCACTGATTTAGAATTCATAACAAACAAAATGATTGTTTAATAATGTGTAACAAATGTATATGAAAGAACCTCAACAAAGATGATTTATATATGTGTGAGTGTACAGTCAGATCCGAGGCCAAGCACTGGGAACATGGCTCAATCTGTCAACCGCACCATGGATCAGCTGTCTGAATGTTTGATCTAAAGGGACGCAGTATCATTATATCATCCTAGCTGTAGCAACAGAGTCAGTGTGCAAAACAGAATTTTCTGAATCCCATTTAAGGGGACGGCTGCAGCTGTCTGTGTTTGCTGGTTGCATGTGAGGCTATAGAGAGGTGTAAAAATGGGCCGCTCAGAGTAAGTAGCTGACAGGAAGCTCACCGCCTGACATTTATCCAGCCAGAGGAGAACAAGGAGCGTGAATGACCAATCAATCTGTCAGCAGGGCCTGCTGGCCACCCACCAGACACTTAAATGAAACTGAAATGGACTCAATCATTCACTGGGTTTGAGAAAAATATTTGCTAAATAAATTAATGAATAAATACATATCTGTGCTTGTGTGTGTGTGTGAAAAACTGAACGTGGCATTATTCCAGTCTTACAATAACCTGCTAAAAGCTCTGAGTGTTTACAGCCTTCATAAATCCTGCAGGAGACGTGCATTTTCTCTGCATGGTGCTGCAACAAAGGCTGCTGCACAAATGGCTTTTTTTGCTGTGAACTCTTAACAGAAGTCGTGCAGGAGCACTCAACAACAATAACACTCAAACAAACCTCTTTTCCTATAAAAGAAGAAGAGAAAAGATACCATTATAAAAGTTTTAGGACTCCTTTTTCACCCAACAGTGCAACAACTTAATTGCAATGTTCCACAAAAAGGATGGGGATATCAAGTTTAGACAAAAAACCTGTTGGGGGGCGCCCAGGACCAGGGTTGAGAATCACTGGGTTACATGACAGGTGAAGTGTGCAACTTTAAGAAAAGATGGAAAACAGCAACTCCAAATCATGGCAAAAATATTTTTAATTAAATAAATAATTATTGCAATTTTTTTTAAATGTTTACATTTTTTAAATCTTGCCAATTATAATTTGTTTACTTTTGTAATGGCAATGGTCTATATCAATTGATCTAAGAATAATAACTATAATATCATATATTTGAAATCAATTTCCACCTCCAAATGGCTCTACTCTACATTTTTTCTAATTAAAGATCCTGGTTCATCCAAATAAATGGTTTGCAAACAGCCTAACACAGACCAACATTGACCCCTACTGGACATTCAGGCACAACAGATTTTTCATGAGGTTGAGATGCAAAAGCACCACACAGGCATTTAACATGTAAGGATACGAAAACATGGGCACGTGTACTTACAGAGAAGACAACGTCATAGTCCATTCCAGTGAAGCTCTCATCTGTGAGGTCTTCCAAATACTCTGCCAATGCATCCAGCGTCTCATCTGCTAGTCTCTCATATTCTTTCTCTGTTAGATCTCTATACAAAACAATCACTGTGTAAGTTAAGAAAATAGTAGTTTCCAATCATTGCAAAATACTAGTGAATATGATGCTAATGTGTAAATAATAAATGAGAAAAATAAGTGGTTTATTATTAGTTGGTCATCTTAAATATATCTGTTTGGTTTGTATAGTATGTTTTCTGCGGTAATAACTTCGTATTGGCTGGTTATTTAAACTATTTAGATTTTTATTGGAATGTGAGCAATAAAAATAAATTATGAGGGCAGGGAACTGGAGACTGACATTGCTGGGATATAAACAAACATTTTTTTAACACACTTAAAAATACAACTTAGAAAATTACAATTATTTGAACAACAATCTTACAATAAACAAACCCTCACCAACACAGTGATAAATCTTAACCGATATAAATTGGTATATCTTATTGCATAATAAAAGTACAAGGAATATTGATATGGTAAATGATAATGATAATTGTAAATCACAACTGGTATGTCTTACTGCATAATTCATTTAAAATAAATGTTGTGCTCTGTCAGTGATTAGTGCAAAATTAAATTTTACACTGAGAATTAGCGAACACTATTTACCTGAACTGAAATGCCTTTTCTTCTCCAAGCGGTGTGCTTAAATGGAGTTCCCTTCTCTTCAGAATCCAATCAAACCACTTGAAAATATTTAAAGAGCGGTTAATATGGGTGAAAGAAGTGAATTTAAACTTTTAGACATTTTGAGACCTGATTTAGAAAGTTTACATTTATTAATTTTGCAGACACTTTCATCCAAAGTGACTTACAGTTGAGGAATACACATAAAGATGGCAATAAGAAGTGCCAATAATACAAGCTTTCTGTCATCACTCAAAACAGAAGAAGCTAGAACAGAAAGGGAGTAAGGAATAATGAGAGTAAAGATATAGCAAAAGTGAAAGCATAGAGAATTTTTTTATGCTTTCACTTTTCCTGTCTATGCTCTCAACATTCCTTAATCCCTTCCTGTTCTAGTGTAGCTCAAATGTAATGTTTTATGTATGAAAATGTTTTACTGAAATGTAAAAAGGCACAAAAGATATGTGTTCGTTACCTGTGAATGTCCTCCACATCCATAGGTCCTTGTGACTGTCTGTGCTGAAGAAATACTCCTAAATCTGCCACCACATACTGACTAAAACAAATGAGTCACAAACAAAACAGACTTTCAAACCACGCAATTCAAGACAAACTATTCTGACAACTAAAACACAAACAGTTACACTAATTAAGGTAATCAAAATTAGACTACAATTCAGCGTAAAAGTCCAGAATCATGTAACTATATTGCAAGGGCGGTTTGTTTACCAGGCAAAGTTTTATGATAAGCACCTAAATAAAATAAAGCTAGTCAGTCTCTGTCCAAACCTTATATAATAGACGTGTTCTAGACTTTCAAACCACGCAATTCAAGACAAACTATTCTGACAACTAAAACACAAACAGTTACACTAATTAAGGTAATCAAAATTAGACTACAATTCAGCGTAAAAGTCCAGAATCATGTAACTATATTGCAAGAGCGGTTTGTTTACCAGCTAGTCAGTCTGTCCAAACCTTATATAATAGACGTGTTCTCTATAATTAAAAAAAAAACAACGAAAGACATTTAACTTTACAACAAATAAGAGTCAAAATCATAACCTGCCACGGCGCAGACTGACAATTCAATTCAATTCATGCTAAACGTTTGTTGACAACTCACTCACTTCAAGTCCACTTCTCATTGTTGACAGTCTGGAGGCTTGTTGGTGACATTTCCATGTGGAGCTCAAGCTAAGTAAATAAAGACAATGACACTTGTTAGTTAACCTTGACATAGCTTCTAAAAGGATACAAGTCTGTGGCTAGCCAGCGTGATTGCATATGCCGCTTTGACGGTTCTCGCGACATTTCAAAATACAAGTCCCAACAAAATAAAAGTCTGCTTTATTCAGGAAGATTTTCGTTCAGTCGATTTGGCTAATTTCTTTTAACAGTAATGTGCATGTAAACAAAATCTTTCACTATTACAAGTGAAATGAGTAGAACGTTTTTGGTTTTTGAAAAATGTGTTTAAACATAATCTGTATTTTATGTTATTTTAAAAGTGAAACGAATATAGTTTTTATGGATTTAAAGAAAATTTAAAAAGTTTAAGATAGATAGATAGATAGATAGATAGATGATAGATAGATAGATAGATAGATAGATAGATAGATAGATAGATAGATACCACCTCAAACCACTAGGTGGCATCAAAGAAAGCGCGTTGACATTATGGTAATGAAAGGTATTTCTCTGAAGCGCAGGAGGAGGCGGAGACTCGCTGCCGTATGACTTCAGTCGCCTTCATTAACGATTCCACAAAGTAGAGGGACACTGAGTACACTTACCTCTAGTGAGTGAAACACTACAAGTCTCGGAATATCAGTGTGTACTCGAATGTCTCTCTCTCTCTCTGTCTGAAGACAAGACCCCACCCTAAAAGACATATATACAGGTAAGACATTTTTTTAAATGATGTTTATTGCGATGTAAACTGTGTGAACCTGTCAGATGGACGTACACCTGTACCAGTTCTGCGGTGTGTTCTTCCGCTCTCAAATAGCCAAGACGTCATATTTGACATTTTCATGTGTTTAATTATGTTTCAGCTATGCAATTTTTACATTTTAGCGTTTGCCTTTTAGGCTACTCTTTAAGATTGGCAAATTACGTAATATTGCAGGGAAGTGTTTTCTCAGAAATATTACCAGGTCTTGTAGATGTGTTGACTGCATCTCCAAATCTAGTGTGCTGTCTATACAGAAAACATTTGCCGTTTTAAAACATATTTGCATGTTTTATTCTCTTTTAAACGTTTCTGATTTAAAAATCCTATACACATTAAAGTAGGGGAGACCAGGGCTAGTTGTCACATGGGAAGTTGTCAGAAGGGTCATATCTCAGTAACTATGTTGGCACAAAAGGTTAATCTATGTTCAGTGAATTGTAGGCTATCATTTGTCTCTGAGCAATAACATTGAAAATGTTAAATAGCGTTTTTTCCCTAGTCAATATGTGCATATAAAGACAACAACTTTAAAAATAACTGAGAAATGCTCATTAAAAAGTGTGACAATTAGCCCCGGTCTCCCCTTTATTGATTTAACTTGTATGATGTCAGTGAGATAGAACAAAAGAACTACATTTCTGTCATATTATCAATATTTTCTTTGGTAGTTCGGAATCAATGTATGTATGAAAAACTGCATATTAATTATTATGGATAATAATGGATATGATCTATTATGGATAGTTATTCCAAACTATCCATATTGAATAGGCTGGTCTTATTACTGTAGGAAACATATGTGTTGAGAAAAGCCATAAACAACATATTGCATGTTCATAGTTGTTCACATGCAATTTAATAGATCAGATGAGGTTGTGAGAAAAGTCTCATAACTTTTACCCACGTTGAAAATAACCCAGACTGGACAGTTGTTTGGACAAGCTTTGTACCTGGAGGCACGAAACCACATGACAGCAAAGAACAATGAGAGGAAGAAGAAATATTCCTCCAGTATTTGTGGTCGCGGTCTCTTTAATCGAAGCTCCGTGTCTCTTGCACAGATCCTTTTCCAGGTGGCTGTTCCCAAAAGCCTTCTGCAGCAGTACTAAACTGCATAATTCTGTATCAGAAGTTTGTCTGATGCTGGCACTTTTGTGCTCTTATGTTGTGCAAAATACCCCAGTAGCAAGTTTTGCTTGTTTACACAACAAAAATAAGAGGTATGTTCAGAACATAGTATTAGCATAACTGTCTAGTGTCTACTATTTCTGCAGTATATAGTATGTATTGTATACTGTCCACATTTTCTGTATGCATTAAGATGTAAAAGTTTGTTTGGTAATATTTGATTATATTTTAGCAGATGTATCTGTAATGTCTCTGCATGACTATAGATTTATTTGCAGAAAATTGAACTAAAAATAAAGAGTTGATTACTGCTTGCCACTCACATGCAACCTGATGAGGTGATTATTAATGTGAAAAGTACTTCATGTTCTGTTTACAGACAAGTTTCATCTGTATCCCGGTCCCCTGTCAGAATCAGATCAATAAGCCACATCATTTCATTTCATTTTTAATCTTTCTGGAGCCTTTCAAAGCTGCAGCTGAATGATGAACAGCAGTCATGACCAGCGGTCTCACTCCCATGCACATTTTTGTATTGCTCCCACAGTGGCATGCTACATTCCTCCCTAGAATTCAGACTGCAGACAGCAGCTGACCCATACCAGATTTACTACCTCTTATATCAGCATAAGAAAAAATATCAGAGTTTACGTTAACTAAGCTGCTCTTAGATCAGCACAGAAGAGTTGGGATGGGACGTGACATACTCTTTTACGCTTGATGTGTAAAATACCATCTCTCTGGCTGGATTTTGCCACCATAATCATTATTATACCTATACCCCGCGGGGGATTTGATGGTGACCTTTTCACTAATAGAACTACTTTCGGGACAAAAAAATATTAAATAGAACACATTGATTCTTATGTGTTATTTAAGGCACAGAATTCTGTATAAATATGCATAGCTGAATAAAAATCATACTAAAATATGCAGCTCTGACCCACTTCAGCTCCCCTAGTATAAGTGGCAGCTCTGATGCTGCTTTGGTTCTGTGTAAAAGAAATGCAGCACCAGTGCAGCTTTAAAATGTATTATTGTTTTAAATGTATTTAGATAAATACTTTTTAAATTATTTATTTAATTTTACATTCTCATTTCTTTTTTATGTTCATAATTTCATATTTAAAATTATCTAAAATATTTTCATTTGAATTTATTTGTATTATTTTTGATTATATTTTAAACAAATTAACAAAAATTCAAATTAATTATTCAAATTAATTAATAACTTTATTTCTGCACTGACATTTTTATGTAAATGTATTTATACTGCCTCTGTGCAACATTAAATAGTGTAAATGCACTTTATTCTAGTAAATAATATGCCACTTCAGATACAGCTTTTGTGCTAAGTTGGCATTAGTGGATCATTTTGCAGCAAAGCAAGCTGTGTTACTTGATTCGCCAGTGAAGGTTATATTATTTAATACCGAAAGAGCCGAAAGACAATGTTTTGCGTAGGATTTTATGTTCCCTAGTCTTTCATGCTGAAGGTTATCGAGCCAGTGCTTTTGAATGGGAAATCAGCAGATGCAAATGAGCGTCTGCAAAAACACATCCACTGCATCACTGTCAACTTTCCTTCTACACCTGTGTGTAACTCTCACTTAAAGAAGTACATAATGAACCTGTGACGATGCATGGCTGAGCCAAAGGTTGACGAGACAAGAACCTCTTGCGTTTGAGCGACTGCAGGTCAATCAGTGTCACAATGTTCCTGAATATAAATGTAGATGATTCAGTTAATTGTGACTCTAATACTAGCTTGCATCAATAAAAGGCAAAGGACATTTCTCTCATTGACCCATGGAAAAATGTGCAGTTTTCATTTGACACGTTACATAACCATGTTCCCTGAGGTTGTTTCAGCCTGTAGGCTATTTAGCAGGCGGTCATGATCACTTGTGTCTTGTGACATTTGTAAAAGCATAATGAAATGCATTCTTGAACGTTGCTGACCCTGAATATGTCTTCTTTTATTTCGAATGTGACAATAATAGCTTGTTTGGAAATTGCTTTATGTTTTAATACCGCTATTAACACTATATGTGGATACTTTACTTACTGGAAATAATAAAATAGGTGTGCCAAATAGTTCTTGATCCACCACTGGCAAGATCAGAGAAATGTACTGCCTACATCAGATAACTGTCTTCCATTGAAAGCCAAACAGTATACAGTATATAAAACTTGCCTGTCCACTTTTCAGTGGTGTTGGGTCCAGAAGTATTTTTTCTATAGCATTTTTTAAAAAGTCTTTGTTAAAGCTTTATAAATCATTATAACCAGCTACAAGGTGAATCACAAAAAAGTATGTGAAAATCAGACAAGAAGGCAATGGGCTTTGTACTTAACAGCTTTATTGAGGGAAAGAACTACAATTCCATAAAGCATGGCGAATGACAATCAAATGAAAAACAACGGTGAAATAAAAAAACAGAAAACCTAAATTTTTATCAGTTCATTATTTAAAGTTGTTGATTATATCTACAGAAACAATATATTTTTAATATATTTTAATATATACTCTCTGACTCAATCTTCTGTACAGAATCAGGGGTATTGTAGTTTTTCATCACAAATTCCATTGTCAATGCATTAAAATAATGCAAACAGATGGCTTCAAAAATATACCATTAACAACATTGGAGCTCAAAACAGGCCTGTCTTGAAAGGTTTGGAAGTTATAGTAAAAAAATTATTTCCCTATGGAGAAAATGAATGGAGTATTTACTTCCAAACCCCGACTTTTGCACTCTATGCTGAGATGTTGTGTGTGGTTGCTATGAAGTTGCTAAGGCTTTCTGAGTAGTTCAAACTCTTTAGTGTCACATGACATGCCAATGCTGTTCGGATTCAAATCTGCAACTTTTCAGTGGCACCATTTTTTAATTGAACGCAACAAGGTATGTGATTTGAGAGCTATGATGAAAATTGAAATTTGAAGTGAAGTATGTAATTTTTTGTTTAACTCTTTTACCTATTAGATTTTTACAATTCTCTTTAGTGATGCAAATTGTGCGAAAATTATACACGTCAACTTAGTTTTCCAAAAATTATTTCTTTAATTCTTAGGGCTGGTTCACACACAACCATTTTTTTTCCATTCCACTACTTTTCCATAATTTTTGTGTGTAAACACACTAGATGGGCATGTTTGACCAATGTGCTCACGTCAAGTGTGAGCAGTCCCTAATTGCATTTGTAAGCACCACT